GTGGTGAAACACTGGAACAGGTTGCCCAGAGAGGTGGTAGATGCCCCGTCCCTGGAAACATTCAAGGCCATGTTGGACGGGTCTCTGAGCAACCTGATCTAGTTGAAGATTTCCCTGTCCATGGCAGGGCAGTTGGACTAGATGACCTTTAAAGGTCCCTTCCAACCCAAACTGTTCTATGATTCTATGATTCTATACCAGGTCTTCTGCAACCCTCTTAGTGACAGATTTAACCCTTGAGCAACACAAAGGTTTAAAGCTATGTCACATCCTCTGAACTACACTGTGATGTGGCTGGCACACACGAGATGGGCAGTATCTCCATCTGGACTACCCAGATACCGAGAAGTTGAGTCTTTTACAACTAAGCTCCAGGTTCTGCATTAAGAAGAAAGCAAAATAAATGCGCTGCCTCATCAGTGTAATTCAAAGGAGCAGCTGGAACAAAATTTGCAACCCAACAAGGTATTTGGATTGGTTTTCAGCTAATCACAAACTGTAGTTTCAATCCTATGCTTTGATACTCTAGAATTTTTCAAGGTTCAATGGTCTGAGTTATGTGAATTCAAGCATAGTATTTCTGAGCTGTCAAAGAATCCCAAATCGGAGATTCTGAGATTACAAAGCCTGAATCCACTGTCTTTGCTAAACTATTTTCACCATCTCCTCAGCTCTGGCTGGAGAGAGTGACAACTGCAAAGGAAATGGTATCACAGCCCCAATGTTTCAATGTTTCTTCTTTACAAATGATAATTCAAGATGTTTTCACAAAACCAAAGTATATCTCTTAACAATAACTCTGCCATTCAATGGCTTCTTGTGTTCTGTTCTCAATTTTCACATTGAACCATCATTTGAGTGCCTAAATATCCTCCAAGGATGCCATCAAATGCACAGCTGGCATATAGGGTTTCTTTTGTGTTCTTCCTCCTCCTAACAGAAACATCCATAGATTGTAAGTTTTGAAAGAGCAGATATACTCATTTCTCCATGAAATGTCATGTGCTTTTATTAACATAGGCTTAAGAAATGCTACTCACCATAGAGGAATTTTGATGAGCAGAAAATCAGTTCCCTAAGTGGAATTTGGCCAAGACTGAATACAGTGTCCTGTCACACAGTTTCTAGATCTGTGGGTCCTTGGGAAAACAAAAGACAAGAGTCTGCAAATCTAAGACAAGGGCATGGCCCTAGCTTTTCAGTGTGATGGGTACTGGTCCACATGGCATAAATGAATATATATTTATTGCAGAGGCTCCAGCCCATGATACTGAAACATTTGTCAGTTGATCAGTGAGCTTTTGAGATTAAAAGATGCAGAGGAACAAAAATATTAAGAAACCACCATACCTCCCACACATTCAGAGGATGAATCATTAAGAGGCCAATTCTGCAAAGTGCTCCACACTTCTCTGCAGCTCTGCACAGGAAAAATTAAGCAATGATGTAAAACAAGAAAAAGTACCCTTTGCAACTGTCCCACCACCAACTGCTAGGAGCTATTCATTAACGATCACCTCTTTCTTTCCTCAACCCACACATGGGGGTTCAGAAGTCAGTAGCAGAACAAGTGATGTTTGAATTTAGCCCTGTCCACCTTTTTGATGATTCTTCCCAGCAATTGAAGGATAGAAGTGGACAAATAACTGGGGACATTACTGGCATCTGTTGTTGGTTTTTCAAGCACCAGCTGAACTACGATGTATCCTAGGATGACTGGTGTTTTTTCTGCTTTGGGAAAGGCAATCACGACCAGGTCAGGCATGGGCCTAATTGCTTTGTACTAAATAAACTTGTGCAGTGCAAACCATTTAGACCATTTGTGGAACATGTGATGTGGAAACTATACCCTTATGCTATGGGAAGCAGGTGGAAAGCAAACCTGCATGTTTATTACTCACTGCTATTTGAGTTCTCATCGGCTTGGCATGCAAGACCAAGAATCTGCAGAAGTAATCTACAGACTTTCATTCATACTGAGATATTTTAACACCATCTCTTAATCTTCAAGTTTATTTCATCTCGGTTCGAGGTTGAAGGGGTCAAGCATGAGATGTATATTTGTATTCAGGAGCTGGAAGCCTGAAATCATTGATAACCCAAATAACAGATTTCTAGAGAATAGCAGTAAATAATGTCACAAATACTTAAAAGAGGACAAGCAAGGAATATTTTTAAATACTTCTTTTTACAGGCCTCACACCAAACAAACTATCACTTATTTTAAAGCCAGAGCTGCAAGTTTCTGGAAATCATAGTCAATGGTTGTTCATTGGTCTTAATAGGTATCGGTGAAATGGGCAGTAATTTCATGGTTTACAGCGTTTGACGACTTCATGTCCAAATTTTCTGTTTTGCTTTTTTTTTTAACTTTAAAAGTGGTCATTAATCTACAATAATACATTAATGTGGTGTGGGTTGGGGGTTTTTTTGTTTATTTGTTTGTTTAAGGTGTATAGCATATCGTGTCCTATTAAAAAAAGTTTGACTAAAGAATTATGCAAAAGGCTTTAATAATTTAAATACTTGTTCAGCCATATGGAAATGTACAATCTGTTTTATGTTATGTGGGAAACCTACAGTTGCTATAAACTTAATGAATTTTAAAACCTCCCATCCGTTATTTAATACAACTATGCTAAAGTAATAATAACACTCATTCTGTTGCTATTTGCCATACTGGAGATGCTTAGAGATGAGTCAGGGATACAAAACTCTAACAGGGATCAAAAATCCTCACAGTTCAGGAGGATGCAGCACTGGAGTTTAGTCCCGCTATCTCTGAAAATACTATCACTTCATCTTTATGCGAGGAAATGTCATTATAATATTACACAGAACGGAAGACATATAATAGTTTGGTTCATTAGTATTTTTTCCATGTAATGCTTTATAAAAGAGATAAAGCTGAAGAAAATAAAAACAGACATGTAAATATTACGGTGAAGTACATTGTTCTTATTTAAATAAATTTCCTTGAGCAATATCTTCTTAAAAGGCGAAAATTAACCACTAAGATTTGTCTCACTGTATAAAAGTGATGGTAGTAATTATAAAGAACCCGATGGTCTTATGCTTATTTCATCCTGTTCTTAGGTCTTCACAGCAAAAATATTAAAATTTGCAATATTACCAAAAAGATGCAAACCTGTCAAATATATTACTCTGAAGTAAATTAACAATCAATTTATAGGAACCTACCATAGGAACTATTAAGTGGACAGTAGTAATGGTTTTCAATATAAAATTTATCAAAAATTATTGGAGAAAATATATGAAGCGTAGCTGATAGCTGATGAAATCTGCAATATGGCCACAGAGAAATAAGTTGCAGATCATCAAAGTTAGCTCTTGTGCAGAAACATCTACCATGAGTTCATTAATTTCACTTTTCACTGGAGAAGAGCAGGCGGTTTCCATAATGCAACCATCACAGGAAACTAATTCAACGCTGTACTTTAAGATTTACCCGTAGTTGGAACTTCCAACAGTTTAGATTTTTTGGTGCTCTGATCTCCCTTGCTCTCCGGAAGGCTTCGTAAATATGAATATCTTCGGCAGAAAGACAACTCTCTCTAAAGCACTGGCAAGTGGTCTTAGTAGAAGACTGCTCAAAAAAAGAAAGGAAAAAACAGACTTAGCTGGACTGGTAAAGCAATATTGGTAGAGCAATACAGTAACACTCTATACTTAAACCAGCAACCTAGGTCGTCGTCAGAAGCTGATAGATTTATGGTCTATGCCCTCCTGACACACATGCCCATAAACTCATGGACCTCAGAGGACCCTTTGCAGATTTAATGGTGCTCATCTGTCTAAGTGGTTTTTAGCCTGAGTCAGCAGCCAATCCCTGATCTTGCACCAATGAAGGCAAAGTGCACTTTCAACTATTTTGAATATCAAAAATGTCAAGTGATTGATTCTACCCAACCTCAGGCATTTAACTAAAGCACCTAGACAAGGACCTAATTAACCGAGGCTCTGGTCATCAACCACAGATGGAAAGCTGCAACCTCAAGAAGGTGCTTCAATCCAATCTTGCCCAGGTCAAGGGTGATGGTGTTCCTAGCTTAAACATCTCAGCCAGGTTACCAAGCTGAAATTAGTTGTGATGACCAACTGCAGGTCTCCCTGTATATAATCAGTGTATGTGTGTTCTGCTCTACTGGGCCCGTGTCCAGCACCAGGACCAGCCAGAACTGTTTCTGGCTCTTCACCTAAATTAGGAAAGAGTTCTGCTTCTGATGGAGAGTGCTCGCAGCTTCCCCTCTCCCCACTGGCTAGACACCAAAACTGTTCCCTTCTGAAATTTGTCAGTGTTTATTCAGTTCAAATTCTGAATGGAAATCTAGCTTGTTTTATTTTCCTTCAGACATGACCTTGTAAAGGACTTTTTTTGTTGTTGTTGTTAGTTAGTTGAAACTCTTAAGTCAGGAATAGAGCCTATAAATTTTCACTGTCCTATTCTGGCCGGTGGAGAATGAAGCCCCACAGATTCTCCCATAGCAAGAGGAAAGCTCCAGTAATTTATTTAGTGGGTGCCTTATTTTGGTCCTCAAGGTCCTCCCCAAAATGGAGAAGATGTTTTTTAAGTGCAAACAACTTGTTCCTGGGAAAAGCTTTGCCTCTACAGACGCTGGTCTACGAGCTGCTGAGGTACCTCACCTCTCATGGGAGGTCTTAGTACTGCTGCCGGATTAGCTGTGGCGTGGTTGAAGGTGAATACAAGGACATTTGATTTTTATTCATTCCCAAATGGGGTAATACTGAGTTTCCTTGCTTCTCACTAAGAAGGTGCCTTTACCCTCTTTTTAATTTGCATCTGCACCACTGAGAACTGTCCCCTGGTCCAGCCTTTAGAAGAGTCACGCTGCAGCTGGAGGAGCAACCGGGCGATTCCCAGATCACCCAAGAGCAGCACGGGGAGCACTGCCACCTTGTTTCTGTTCAACGAATACATGCCAAGCACATAACATTAATTAAGACATACTGTACCTCCAGCTGTTTGGATCTTGATGTGTTTATTTCCTTCTAATCTTAATTAGAAAAAAAAAAGCAAAGATGGTTAAAACATTGTAACATACCACTAATGTAGAACACCATTTTAAAAAGCCATGCAACAAAGTTACTACTGTTCCAAACGAGCCACTATGGTTAATAGTGTTATTTTTCTTCATTTTTTTGTTTTGCAGAAAATTTTGGAAGCACCAGTCAGTGACTAAACTCTGTGGTGTACGTCTGTGACAGCAGCATTTTGTTGTATTAAATCTAAACAATTATTACATGATTTCATAAATACATGTTTATGACTTGTCTATTAAGTACCTATAAACCTACTGCTTTTTCCCACTGTTCGGAAACATCACATGGAAAAGAAACAGTTTGCACTGGGTTTCATATAAGAACAGAAATAAACCTGAAAGCAAGCACTTACTAACTGTTATTACTGGAATTCACCACAATGCAAGTAAACACCTTCAAAACTAAAAATAGCGCTAAGGCTCTGCAAGTGCATCTGTCACAGCCTCTTACTCCTAACAGGGTTTTGTTTTCTTTGAATTCACAGAACACTCAGAGTGCGGAGAAGCTGTTCAGAAGACAACGTACCACATTGTCAGCATCTGCTCGAGGATCCTTCCGCAGAAGTAAGTGTGTTAAAATTTAAATAAACTGGAACAATCGCTTTAACGGTTACAAATAGCTCCACTGCCTTAAGAGGCTCCAAGGCTAGTCAGTCTGTCTGAAATAATAATTGATTTTTAAAGGAAATACATCCTGCTAGACAAAATTAAACTGAGAAAGCAGGAGAAACGCGATACGCAACCTTCCAATACCTTTTGGTGCAGCTTTCGTCTGACTGGAAACCATGGCAGCTGCGTCCGATGGCAGACCAACATACACACCACCATAGTTCCTGATTTAAAGAAACAATTAAAGAGACATCAGAACTTAATTGTAACACTTCTCCCTATAATGTCGACATCACGCGGCAGCATTACAAAGACCATGGACGGTCAGAGAGGAGGGCACCTCTGCACAAGCATCCTCAGAGGAGCCCTCCTTTCCCACAGCTATGGAAAAAGTGCATATTAAGTGCCACGTGCCTGCTAATATGGTGCCAGGCAAAAAAACCTCGAGGCTAGCTGTTACTCTTAAGTGGGACCCAAGCCTGTGAAAGGAGCTATTTTCCACTCAAGTTCCTAGTATTTTTCATTAAATCCCAACTGTGTTGTGACAATAAACCCCACTGGCCCACCTTCTTCTAGACACCAAATATATCCAACCGAGGACAGAGCCAATCTGATAGTAATGTTCGACACTGGGACCTTTGGAACACCTCACTTCAAACAACGCACACCAATTAAACAGCACTTTGACCTCTCCTCGTTAATAAGCAGGACCTGCATCCCCTGCTTAGGGCCACACTTGGAGAAAACTGTTAGTAGGAAGGAGCATGAGGGTGTTAGGTGCTTTCATAGCCCAACGCTCTCCCCTTCATGGCCTTGCAGAGCGCATTTTCTGGCTCCGAGGCCTATATGAAAAGCAGGGACTGATGCAAGGAGGTGAAAAACTGGGTCCTTAAGAGCCTCTGCTGTGCTTGGAGCTACTTGCAGAGACTCCCATTATGCTGCTCTGCCCCGTTAGGTGCCAAATGAATCACGCCCCCTCCAACCCCTGGAGCGCTGAGTTGATTTCTGATTTGAGATAGAGTCGCATTTCCTTTGATTTCCAGCCCAGCGGAGATCTCCCGCAGGTGCTAATGCCATCTTCTGTGGTGGGGTTGGGGTGAAGGCAGAGGTCACTGGCCCTTATCGAGCACATCACCTACAGCTGTGAGATAATGTGCTCTCCTTGCCACAAAGCTCTCCTCCCTCCAACTCATTAACGGGGTGGGGAGGCTCATCAATACTGGGCTGTGTGTGAGATTTCCTCCTCTTTTCTTTTTTTCTTTTTCTCTGCTTTGGTGGTGTTGGTGGGACAAGGAGGAGGAAAGGAAGGACGTATATCTGGCGGCAGAACTCTCTGCAGCCTATTGCAAATAAAGCCAGTCCCGGTAGAGCACCTACCTCCTTTTGTCATCATCTGATACGGATTCTTCTGCTCTGTAACACCAAAAGATATAAAGCACATTAGCAGATTGTTTCTTTCAGAAACTCCATCACCATCTGGGTAGATTCAGGAGCAAGGGAAGAAGGGGATTAATACTGATGCCAGTTTAATTCAGGCCATCCACAATTCAATTAAGTATTCACACAGGCACAAAAAGAGTGACAATTTTCCAATCTAATGTACAGAAGAAAAAAAAAGGATTGAGAATAGATGCAGCTTAGTTTTCGTGACCCTGCCAGTGATGCCTGAAAAGTAGGTTTGGGAGCTGAAACAGGTAAATTAACACTTCCTGAGTGAGTCCCCACAACTGCTCCACTCATAACAGGAAGATGAAGACTCTGCATGGAACAGGAACGAGTCTGGGCTGCCATTCCACCAAAAGAGGACTGGAAGGGACTGGGTGCCCATGCTGGCATGGGAATGAGGATGAAGAAAGATAAACTTTCACAGCAGCTGTGCCAAAAAGATGTTACAGAGCCTCTCCGTAAAATGAGGTACTGCAACTCCTGAAGTCAGAGTTGTTTGCAAACCAAATAACTGTTACTAATCCTTTATAAATGGGCAATTACTTCTCTTTTACCTTTAGGGTAAAATCACAGGTCAGTCTGTAGGTCGATAGGCAGTCACTGCAGTTTGACTCCCCCCACTGAAATACTGTCCAGTGTAGCTGAACCAGGGCAGGGGGTAAAGTAATCGGCATCGACGTGAAGGCAAATTAGTACGGAAAAGATAAAAATTTTATTCTTACTCGCTGAGGGTATAGTGCCTGCGCTGCAGTCTCAGTCTGTGCCCCAGTGTCAGTCTTCACACAAACCACTCACCCACGTTTGATTAAACATTTGGACTTTGAGCTCTGCTTGCATGGCTGGGTAGGGATCGGGGCAGCAGCTGCATTTTAGCTTGGTCTGCAACCTACCAACCTAGCAATAAAAATAGAGGCATGATAACTTGAGTGCTGTTAAATCCACAGACATCCTTCACCCCTTCCCTACAGCTGGGGGCAACTGTGACAACCGCCTGAGAAGGAGTCCCGCGCCATAGCTGCTCAGGGGGCCGTGAGATATGGCCACAGTGGTGCCCAGGGAAGGCTGCCCACAGCGAAGGGGCACCGCAAGCCAAGGTGGGCTCTGTTGTGGAAACGCTCATGCACAGGCTGTTCACCCAGATATTCTCACCTGGAGGGGAGAATTGCCTGGACTATGGGGGCAATGCAAAGATACTCCCCATCACGAGCTGATCCATGAATTTCTGATCTGCTCCCCAGGCAATAAAACTGAGAACTGGCCTTTACCCAGCGTTAGGGCTAAATCCATTCTGTAGCCTTGGAAGGCATTTCTGAACTATGATATTTAACAATAATATATGACATTTCTTATTGTAATTTATTTATTCTAAGAGGTAGATGTGTTTAATCGTCAGGGCTGTATGCCATTACTGAACCCTGAAGTCAATAGCATTTTGGCCCAAAGTGCAGAGAGCTCATCACAAGACGCAGCCTTAAATGCAAGAAAATGCCCCTTAAATCTCAGTCAGCACTCTTCTGGGAGAGTAGCAAATGCCTTAAAAATATTGCTATAAGTTAGAAATTATCTTACATTTATCTTCTTTCTAAGTGGCAGAACATTACAAACTACCCTTTCTGCATCACCACAGTGAATAAGGGTACACAGGTCCTTTTAATGGTAGAGGTTTGGGGTAAATTTAAGTATGCTGCAGTTTTGCTAAGTGATATTCACACAAGGCATAGCACTGAGTGGGGTGAGCCTCCCTGTCTCATGTCTTTGCCTACATCTTACCACTCAAGAGAGATGGAGCAATAAACTCCTCATTCTCTGGCACTCCTGCCACTCCTCCCTGGAGGAGCTAGTGCCATTTCAGAAGGCATCTCCCGTCTTCTCTGACCCCATGTAGCCTAGGCCACCTTGCAGTCCTCACACATGCAGCCAGAAAACTGCAGAGATATAACTTTCCTTGAGGACTGTGAAGCTGCTCTGTCCTAGCGTGGGCCAATTCCAGCTGAAGAAAGCGGAAAGCCTGTGTAGATCAGTGAGTGGAAACGAGCCCTGTATTTTTAGCAAAAAAGATGACAACACTTTAAGAAAGGGACTTTCGGTGCCAAAAGATCACAAACAATCATTTCTGTTGAATCAACTGAATGTGTCACAGGATTGATTTTCTCATACAACTGGAAACATTTTCTATAATCCAGATTAATCATTATCCAGAGAAAAGAATCCTTTAAAAGCACTGGCAACTTCATTCGCAGCTCAAAGCCTCTAAAATGGAGTTGTAAGAATAATAATCAATATTGTCCAACAGGAAATTAATGTCAATGCTTAAAAAAAAAAAAGCCTCTACTAGGCAACAGGGCTATTTTCTTCTGTTCTAGAAATGTTTTGTAACAGGGCATCACTGGACCATTACTGTCATTCTCTCACCAAAACAAATTATCCAAGTCTATGATTAAGCAGACTAGGATTTTTTTAAACATTTTGCTTTCTTCTTTTCCTCTTAATAGCTACAAATCAAAGCCTAATTTTGCAATACCTTTTCCCTTAAATGCGCAACAGCAAATATAATCTGGGATTGTAGAGGCCACAGCTCTTGGGCTGGGTGATGACCAGGTACAATCTGTTGTAGTCCTGCTAGGAAAGGGGAGGTGAGCAGAGACAGGGGGAACATGGAAGCGTGAGAAGGAAAACAAAAAAAAATTCTGGTGATGGCATTTAAGGAAGAAGGCATTTTCCACCCCTTTCTGGTGACTCCTTTCTAAGCAGCGTGGGAAGGAGGGCTGCTCCAGTTTATGCATTACGCACATTCACACACCTCTTGCCTTCACACACTGTAGCTTAAGGCCCCATTTTGAAAGGCGTCCACTAATTTCACATGTTCAAATATCCAGGTGCCAGCTGAGCCATTGCAGCAGTTGCTGCTTCTGTGCCCAGGCTGGGTGAACACGGCTGGCTGCAGGGAGCAGGGCCGCAGCAGCCACGCTGGACCGCGTGGAAATGAGAATGGAAAGAAGCTCCTTTGGTTTTGGTAGTGCTCCCATTGCCACACCTCCCAGACTCACAGAGAGGGTATGGGGATACGGGAGTCCAGCACATCCCTTCTCTCCCTCTCTCTTTAGCTTCTTCTTATGTCAGGGATGAAGGAAGAACCTAGCATAAAAAATATCTTTAAACATCTCCATTTACAGAATCCTCCAGGAAGAGCAAGCTAGGATAAACTTTTCAAGGAACTTAGCAGTCTGATGTTCTTTGTACTGATCTGCTGCCGTGTCGCCGCATCTTCCTTCAGACGTTGTTGACACCTACTGCAGAGGAACTGAGAGGACTGAGGTTTTTCAGCAGGTAGCGTAGGTGGAGTTCTGTAGCCGGTAGGCAGATTTAACAGCAAATCCACATAACGGCACTCTATCTTCAGCTAGAATAAATGTTTCTTTTGTTAAGGATTTGTCTATCCCAAGAGGCTTCCTGTCACCCTCCTAAGTCTGACAAATATACTTGGTTCAACTGCCAGTTTTTAAATCCATCAGTCCCATGTCCATCTGATGCTAAAAGAAGCTGCCATTTTTCACATAATATTTTAAATATCAAATGACAGGCATTCACATTAATTCATTCCATCTACATTTTTCTTACCTCAGCTTTTATGACTCTGTTCGTGCTGAGCATTGTATAGACTCTTTCTAGCCGTGCTCAGTAGTCCCACCAGAAGTGATTCACTAAACTTTCCACAAGTGACAGACTACTACTCAGTTTCTCAGCCTTTCTTGGGAAGAAGGGCCTGTCATTTGTATTTGATGGATTCCTTACCAATGTTTTGAAACAGGCTTGAACTGCTGTGTCCTTTCCTTCCTACTGTTACTAATCTTCCTCTGAACTTAGCCACATTCTGAATATCACAGGCATTGCATTATTTTCTAGCATATACCTTACCCCTCCTGTATCTAAGCTTTTCCAGTTAGCAGTGACGTACTTCTCTTTATTAGCGGGGCAGGAGCGTTGGCCGAAGCTGGCCGACAGATTCACCGTTGATTTGAGGGTTGGAGTACGCAGGGAGAGATCACATTCCCAGACCATACGTCCTTCTTGTCATTGCGTGGCCCTCAGTCTCACAGCACTTCCTCATCTTACCGGTGGAGAAACTCAAGGTCCAGAGGGCAAAGCAGCTTCCTCGCGGCCACCCGGGAGGGCTCAGAGCAGGCTCCAGCCCTCCCTCCTTCCACCCGGCTGCTCGCTCCAGGAGATGCTGGCGCCTTGGCAATGAGTCGCAGTCAAGAAAGGAGAAATCTCTTGAGTTAGAATAACCGTACTCTGTATCAAAAAGTACGAAGTAAGTAAGGACACACCTACATGCTTTTCTGGACCAGAGCCGATACAACTGAAATTTAATGGCAAAAAAACCATGGGTTTTTTTAAACAGAATTTTTTTTTATCTTTAGCTGATAAAAGCGAAAAGGTGTAAAATAAAAGCTTGTGTGGATCTATAATGTTAGTTAATATAAATCTGTTCATTTCCATGAAACTAAAACAGTTTTTCTGGTATTTTACTTCCTTCGTAAAAATCTGCTGTTGAATGTTAGGATGATTGATTTAGGACTTTTCAGGTCATCACTGCCGTTCCTCATTAACAGATCTGCATTTCTAATGTCTGATGAGAAGGCTCAAACATGCTATTACTCACACAGGTTGTTGGGCTGACTCTAGTGTACCTATCTGAATGAGTAATGGTTCCAGGATTGACCCTTTCCCTTTGTTGAAGTCTGCGCTAGTAATTAGTTTTTTGTAAGTTATCCAGATACTTTTTTGAAACATGACAGATGATCTAACACTAACAAGTAGGATGTTCCCAGTTTAACTCCTGAAGTCTGGCCCTACAAATGCTTACACATTCATAAACACCGTTCTGCATATACCCATACCTTTAAGCACAGAAACATGCCTACTAAATTCGTAACTTAAGTTGTGCTTGCAATTTTGAAATTTAAAACTACCAAAGAGCAAGGAAAGCGATGCAGTTCTAAGTCAGTCACCTAAATTAGCTTAACTGAACAACAAAAAAAGGCCCTAATATACATTAAAAACCGTGGTTTGGTATATATAAAAGTGAACAGGGCATGGATGCTGCAGGCTGTACCAAAAAGAGGTTCCTCATAAACTTGCCTTCTGTAATTTATTTATTGTCTGACACTGCAAACCCACAAAACAGACTACACGGGTAACACAGATCTCAAGAGTATCTGTGACAACAGTGCCCATCCGCCAAGTGAGACCTGTTGTTAGTTCTCAGCCATGCTCTGTAACAGCAAGGACAAGCCTCTTGTTAAGCTCTTCTCTCCACTTGTTTATCTGACTTGACAGCCCTCATTTCTACACCAGAATTCCTCTGTCTAATTAGAGTAGTTATTCTAAATGAAGTAAATAAAACTGAAGAATGTTCCTATTGCATAACACAAAAATCTCTCCCAGATCCCTCGGTCTTAAACTCTAGTGGCAAATACCAATTATATGAAATAGAAAAAGGCAAGACCTCAGGAGGACATCTTTAATGTTTCCTTTGATAGGAAAATAAATTTATGGCTGAATAAAGCTGTTCCTGCACATTTCTACATCAGCAAATGAAAAATGGGCTGAGAAAGGCAGATCTTTTGCTGCTGCTTTTCTGAAAACCAGAAGTTGGCAAGAGGCAACAGGATAATAGAGGTTCAGACCTTCCACATTTAGAGAAAAACAGGATGGGTAGGGCTGCCCTCTGCTACTTAGCGTCAAAGATAAGGGAGAGAAAGAGGAGCCTGACAGATAGTATCTTCACTGCGGAGAACATCTAAAGAAGGTGGGTACTTTGAAAAGCAAGTCTGGATGAGTTACCGGGTCTCCTGCAAAGAGGGGAGATTTGCCTCAGTGGCTCTTTAGATCTCTCACAGGGCTTGGGGGAAATTTATGTGGTCGCTTCATACAATGACATGGCCTTTGGAATAAGGTGTACTGACACGTGACAGGGAAGAGCAGTCTGAAGTAACATGCCCACCTCTGGGAGACAACTCTCAACAGAAGCAGAGAAACGTCATTTCTGTTAGAGAAATAACAAGGGAAGGAATCTGTAGAAAAGTAAACAAGACATGAAGTTGTTTTGTGGAGATGGAAGCTGTCACTAAAAACAATAAACGTCTGGTGCCGTTGATTATATGTTAGGAGCCAGATGAATCACGTATGACTAAGTCTAGTATAAGGCTAGTAGGACTGAAGCTAAGTCCAGGGCTACATATTTGAAAGAGTGGAGTAAGTACTTACACATCTTTAGTAGTCCCTGTGGCACCTAGAAAGAAAAAAAAAAGTGCATGTTTACAAGATAATGGCATAATCCTCTAACTCAACCGATAGTACAACAAGCATTTTTCTGCCTTTCTGTCCTAAACAAGGCAGAAATAGCAACAGGAATTTTCTATTGTCAGAGAACAGGTTTCTCATGATTGTCTAGTTTATTCTTAATGATTATCTGTATTATCCCTTAAGTCTATCACGCTTAGATCTGGGCCAGATTCTCAGTGGGTAAAAATGATGCTGCTGTGGACCAGTGCTCAGCTACAGTCACTCAGGATGAGAGCAATAAAAGATAAAATTCATCTTTCTGAATTTTATATGCTTCACTTTGCTCAGCCTTCTCGTGGTTTTGTCTGCTACAAAGTCATCACAACTAACCGAGCAGTTACTCCTGAATGCCTGTTTATTTTGTGCACATGCCATTTGATTCAGTTGTAGACTTGGCACTACATGTGTAAAATGCTGCTCCATTCTTCCTGCCAGATAAACAAGGTTTTATAAAACAACTAGACAGAACTAATATAAACATTGGGACACAATCCATCCAAAGCCCCAGACATCTAAAGAGATCAACCACCCCTTAATTCATCTTGCTATTTAACAGAAAAGCTACCTGGCTGCCTGATCTCAGTGATTGATTTTTTTTGGTGACTCAGATGCTTCTTGCTGGGAGCAGAACATTCACTCAAGTACAAACTCTTTCCTGTTCCTCCCAAGTTATTAATGCCATGTTGCTATTGCTGGTATATCATTCAACTGAGTAACCAGCAAATTATCCTTTCTATTAATTACACAAGCTAGGGTAGACATTAGAAAACCTTTCACTTCTCCTTTTCCTCTTCCTGTCAATGCTTAGCTGGAAGAGGTTATCTGAGCTCACTCTGAAGGAACTACAGTTGTCAATCCAAAAGATTTTATGGGTTTGGAGGTAGGTTGGGCTTTTTTCAGCCGTGGCACTTCATTTCTTGACAATCTTTATTTTTGCAGCTGAAAAATATCCATAAATAGCAAATATCTTTTGTCTCATTCTGATGTGTAAGAATATGCCTTCTGCATCCTTATTTTAAATGCAGAGAGGAAGAAACAGTCCTGCAAGGCTTTCCAGCACTGTCTACCTGAATGGATGGCTTGGATGGCAGGAAACATCTCCCTCTGCAGCTAACTCTTGAACATAATATCACTCCCAATTCCTATGACTTGACTATCCCTCCTTTTCCCAGCAACAAAATAGACTAGGCTTGCATAAGACTGCACACATTTCTTTTGTTAGTATTGCTTCCAGAGTCAGCAAAATCTCAGTACAGCTATATGTATCAGCAGAAACTCTTAATTAAGCTGGAGGGAGTACCTCTATGCACAATAAGCTTAGGTCCTTGCTTTAAAACTTTATTCTACCAAGCAGCTTTCTAAGACTTTTTGGCTCTATAGGCACGTCTACATAGTACTACATATAAACCCTCCAAATTAATTGTGTCCAGGTGGAAGGTTGGCATTGCAGGGCTGCATGCAAGCTCGATCTCAGCCAATGTAGGGAGACATTTTCTGCTACCAAGGCTAGTTCATCCAGAGTCAGCTCAGCTATGTACCTTCAGGGCACCACCCTGCACATCTAGACAGAGCCTAGGCATCAGCAACACCTCAGGCAACATACATTTTGAAAAGCCTAGCTCCATTGCTGTAGCTAGCAGGATTTTTTTTTTTCCAGAAGAAACTATTCCTGTGCTGTGCCTGTTCTGCACCAGAACCATGACTTTCTCATTTTCTCAATCTAAGCTCACTGCAAACAAACTCAGTTTCTCCAGAAAGGTTCATGGTCCTTTGTGAGGCCTTTGCCGAGCCTTTTCTAAGCTTAAGCTGAGGTCTCAGCGCTTTGGATCCTCATCTGAAAAATTAATGCCTTCCTTGCACGAAGTATACCAAAAGTAAAAAGTGTTTAATACACAAACCGAAACCTTAGCTGAGTGAGAAGAACTGTGTGTCTACAGTACCGCTACATTTCCAGTGGATATACTCAAGTTCCAGTCCATCACCAGGCACACTTCAATGCCTTGCCTACGTTCAACGCCATACCCGTCTTCAATGCATTACAGTACACATACATTTGCACTCTGGGGACAGGAGCTGTCTCTCAGACCCATCAACTTGGGCTTTGTGTAGAGCTATACAACTATGAACCTGCGTTTGTTAGAACGGAGATGTGCCCCTAGCACTCAGAGCAGCACTTGTTCCCTTTGAATATTAGAAAGGGTACCACTGCTGAAAAATCACTGCAGCATTTTGAAACACACCTCACACAAAAACATTGAGAACTAAGTATGATAAAAACAAATTCATTTTTTAAGAGATTATTTTTACTATTAATAATAAATAAATACATATAATAAATAAACAAACAAATTTATTGTTTTCTGTTGTTTTTATAAACACAAAGAACCAGGTTATCCTCACTCCCATTGATGGGATCCCATTGATTTCAGTGGTGTTATTTCTCATTTTCACTAGCAAAAGTGAAACAAGAGTTTGGTTCAAATTCACTTGAGTACCACTAAAGCACCTGAATATAGACCTGCAAGTATTTCCAGTGCAGTTTTCTTCCTGGAAGAGTTCCGAGCTTGCAAATGAACATCACTTCAGTTAAGTGGCCCATAACTATGTAAAACTCATAAGGTTTTCTTCATTAGGGAGCCGGAACACTCCTTATACATAGATTTTATTTCACAAGGAACCCAGTAACATTTCAGTTTGTACAGACATGTTTGTTTTTAAAGTCCGATCCATTCACCCTCACGCCTGTTACTTCACTGACATATTTCTCTAACTCTTGCATGTTTAGTGAGTGACACATTATTTTACAGCTACTCAAGTTCCATCTGCCAGAAGTTCAGCCAAAGAATCTTGTTTACTACCGATTCACAGTGTGCCGCAGCAGCAAGGCGTAGTGCTCTTGTAGCCATGATGGTTTAGAAATATGACTTGAGAAAAGGCTCGCATATTTGAAACCTTGTCCATTTTTTCCCACTATATCAGCTTGACCTAAAAAAAGGCAGCACTTGACCCTACAAACCTAGTCTCAATAGCCTCATGTTGGTTTGGTTTTCAAAACCTGCCTAACCTCAGCAACAGACTGAGAGGTGGCCAGGAAGCTGCGTCCACAAAAAATAGGCAGTATTAAGCTGTCCTGAATAACCTCTCTGCTCACACCATCTACGTAGTAGGACCATGGGTGCATTTTGGCATTCTAGAGCTGCAGGAGGACGAGGAGGAGTATAGCCTGCAGAATAAACGAGGCACATTCAGACATACATCGCTCCGAGCCCAAGTGATTACGGAAGAAAAACATTCTGTCTAGAGCAGTGGAGCTGTGATCCCTCAAAAAACCCTATAGAATTTAAACAGTCACAAATGAAGAAGGGCAAAAATGTATCCCAAAGCATCTTCCATTCAGTGAGAGGGGGTTTTGCACTTTCAAAACAACAGTAGCTTGTTACTGGCGACCCTGCAGAATTTCAGTAATTGCAGGACAAATGCAAAAGATGGTTGAAACAAATTGATAGCCACAGATGTTTCTCTGTGCTAAGAAATGCATCATGAGTGAACGTGGAAGACAACAACTTAAGAAAAATATAAAAAGGATGAGAGGCAACCACTTACATGAATAAAAACATGGATATAAAAAATGCTAGTATCTGACTTCAGAGCAGATTATGAAACATTTTCCCATTAATTTTTAATGAACATTTTCCTCCAATATGTTATTGCAAATACTTCAAACTGTTATAAAAAGCAAATAAAAAACTCAAAACTACATGTACATGCATGCAACAGTTAAGATTACGAATGAGTTTTCTATTGTAGGCTCCATTCTGATTTGCTCCAAAAGACAGCAATATGGAACCAAATCCTAACATCAATGAATTTATTCTATTTATACCTCAATGTAACCAAGTACAGAATTATATCAATTTACTTCAAACTGATTTCTTCGTCAACTCATCAGGTGACAGCTTTGTAAACAGACTTGACCTGATCAAACATTAATTTTAAAAATTAGTTGGATTTTAAATAGAATGGCAGCATGGTTTCCTGGGGATTCCACCAAACTTGAAGTTAATAAATCTGTTTAAACTTGGTGTAAAAGTTCTCCTTCATTATAATTTGGCTGTATTTGAAGCTCTCCACAGACTAACAGCTTCTCTGTATATTTAAATTAAGGCTAGACTGCCAGCCTCCACTGAGTACTATAATTTAAGGTGCTGTCATTGCTACTACAATTCATATAGAAAGGAGGAGGTAGTTAAAAATTGTTAGTGAAGCAACACCAGAATGAAGGGAAATGCCTTAACTCAGAAGAAAAAGTAAATTAATGTTTAAGGGCATATTTTTAAAAGACCAAAAAAGAACTATTTTGGAGCTTCTAAAGCACCAGGAAATAACATGAAAGAAGGATATGCAAAGCGAGCTAACAAAACACTAGAAAAACAGCAATTTGGTAATAAAACTTCCTATGGATAATGGGAAATTTAAAAAATAAATGTAATCCATAGCTAATACATAAAATAGCTGCGTGATTTAATAAGGATGTGTATACATCAGTTTACTCGGAAAACAGAAGTTGTCATTTCTCAACTGAGGAGCCTTTTGCCAGCGTCTGATGGCCTGGAAGGAAAATTTAAACTCTGTGAGTTATATCGGTGTTCTGGAGTACTGCACCACAGACAGAAATGTTATTCTAGATCATGTCTATCAGTTTAGATCTCGCAGACCATAGGGCTGATAGCTCCTCTGATGTCATTCCAGCCATGCAACAGAAGATAATATCATTAGCTGAACTATCATTACATATACGTCTGCTTAGGAAAAATTGAGTTAGGCAACAATAGAAATTTTACCAGAGAAAGAAAATAGAATACACGTCTAATGTATTCTGTGAAGTATGCTACAATATTATCCTTAGTCATATAATATGACAGAGTGTGTTACAGGTTAATTATATGTTATGTACCTCTAGCTTTGACATTACTGACTGTAGAATAGTCATAACTTTAGCATTACAGATGTAGTCATGCTGTGCAAGCCACAAAATTGATTTGTATTTACACAGTGTTCATGTCTTTCGGGAAAATATTGAGAGTTACACTTTCCTTAAGAACTCTAGAATTCCGATTAAAAATGGTACGTCTTCTCCTTCCCCTACATAAAATAATTTTATTTTTATTAGACACACTTTGTAAGGAATGCTAAATGGAAAAAATAAATAGTAGACATGTGACTTCCTACTTTTATTACCAGTTGTTGGTTATTGTAACACCGTAGACTGCATAGAGCTGTTCCTGACTGACAGTGGTGAAAGTGAGAAGAGAACTGGACCATTCAGAGCCGTAGTTGCTTTGGAAAGGTCTATCAGGGCAACAGTAATAATTCCATTATACTAATTATGTGTTTTACATGGCATTGGTCTTTTTACCTGCACCAACCCATTGGAGATCTGTGGACTATTTCTAAAGAGTATGCAAAAGGCTGCCACAAAATGCAAGTTCAAATGTATTATGAATAACAGTACAGGTAAATTAAACTACTGAAGGGGTCGTACCTTCAGTAAAAATAATTTATGAATCTACAAGCCAAAACCTGTTGAAAATAGCTGCCTTTAATGCAACAGTGGACACGTTTATTTAAACAAACAAACTTTCAGTTCAACATAATTCACTAAATACTACCGCTGTCAGAGTTAGTCTATTTGACATCTACCCATTTGTGTCCTGGTACAAGTTCCACAGGGTGGCCGGATAAACATTAATCGAGAAGCTACCACAAAGGGACTAATTATCAACTCAAAATTTTCCTCTGAACTTCTCTGATACTTGCTCTGGTGCTTTTACCCAGCAAACAGAAACGGGATGTGAACAAGCATCACCCCAGCAGTATGAAGCTACGTTGGGTCATATACTGAAACAACTTCCAGTCACAGCAACGCAGGAATCAACTAAGGGGAGAGAATTAATCTGTGCAAACGGGACGCCTCTAATAAGAGTGCTGGAAGTTCAAGCAAATTCATACAGTGCATTCTTCATGGATGAGAGGCCTCTGATAGATACACATGATACCTGAAACCTAATTTATAATCATTTAACAGAACTCAAGTAAGCAATAATGGCAGAAAAGCCTCCCCTTCCCCCATGAGTGTGAAGTGCAGGGTTTAGTGGGAAAACCAGCAACACACCACACAAACATACACACATACAACTTGGAGAAGTCATCATCAATCACACTCAATGTCCAGTTCTGCAAATCAGGACGAGTACCACCAGAGGCACCACTGAAGCTCTGGATAAAGTAAGTCAAAATGTTGAGAGATGAAGGCCCAGTAATTCCAGCTGATCCAACCACTATTTTGCTGTGCATTTTCAAGAGGTTATGAAGCTAACAAATTTATCTGAAAGACTTAATACACGTACTGAAACAGGTGGCAATGTTTGCCAACTGCAGTTAGGATGAAAAATGATTGAGAAATGCTTATATTTATAATTATACGGTGAAGGTCTGCTTATCAATTTCCATATACTTTCCTTTTTTGCGGGGGCTGGGGTGAGGAAGAGCACAACAGCACCATCTTCCCAGGTCTTATCTCTTTTGAAAATAACAATGAACAAATAAGGGAGCCAGCTGGACGCACCAGCCAGCGGTACACATTAACATGCAAGAAACCTCAATCTCGGAATATCCTCCAACTTCTCCGGCAAGCAGAGGAGAAGTAGTGGCACAAACTCATTTCAGAAGTGGCATTCGTGGCCTTATAGGGAAGCAAAGAGGATGGAGCTTACACGCCCAGCAGGATCCTTAGTCCAGCTCCTGGCCTGGGCTCGCCGTGCCTAGGACGGCTACTGTGGGAGGCGGTGACCCTAAGGACCATGCGGGCACCAGAAAGCCTCCGGTGCCCGCCGGCGGGCCACATCACCCGCTCTCC